GATAGAATCCACGACGAAATTGAACAAAAATGGGGAAATCAGACAACCCTGACGAACGCCACTTGTGGTCGGAAAACTATGCGATTGGTCACCGTAGACCCTGATGCGACCTGTGTTTCAATATAGAGCGCGAAGGATGTTCACATATTTCGCGGGAACACATTCCCGCACAAGTATTTCGAACAGAATCGATCGATCGACTGAATCGAACGCACTCTTGAAACCGAGGAACGTAACTGTTCTTGGTCGGCTGTATGTGTGGAGCTGCTCTAGCACCTGCCGCAAAATGAATATATGACCTATACAGCCACGCCCTGGGCGGATTTAGTTTTACAGAGATGGACGCCATCCCAATACAAACCCCCAAGCTGTATGACCAGGAGACTGAGTTTGTCTGACCTCTCACCATTGAGCAACCTGGTAAGAGTAACTCTCAAGCTGCCCGGAGGCATCACCCAGTATAGCTCAATGGGTCAAGGAGGTACGCAAACCGTCGCACCACGTTAAGATCCAGTCTCGTTACGTCATCCCCCACCCAAAAGCCATTAACTGCCGCCCTTTTACCGGTCTTTAAAACAAATTATCCAAAGCACTCATCCCATAATTCATTGCTAACACAGAAGCTTTCCTGCATGTACCCCAATGCACAATGTCTCCTGAATAAGCTTGCCGAACTGCGGCTACGTCAAACGTTACATGTCCGGGACCTCATTTTCTTCACAGAAACTTGGTTGCACTCAACAATTACCCACGCCGAAATCGCTATAAATGGTACGCCCCTTCTGCAAAACTATCGACCTAGCAAACGCCGGGGGGGTAATGTTGTACTACCGCCACGACCTGCAGTGCGAGCCGGTGGCCGATCCGGAAATTCTGCGCATAGACTCACTCTGGTGCAGTTTGCGACTGAGACGCAACATCATTTGCCTTTTGGCCGTTGTTTATTGTCCCTCAATGTCCACTCCAGAGAAGGACTCTGGCCTGACATTATCCTTGAGATGGGTACTACGAGGACCCTACATTCATGTTCCCATCTCAGGCGACTTCAATATGCATGATTTGGAAGATCCAGCGTCCCCCAAGGAGAAGTTTAAGGTCGACCTGCTAGGGTATATTGCAAGAATTCCGCTATTCAGCCATGTCAGTTCATCTACCTGAACCAGAGCCGGAAATAAACCATCTTTGCTTGATCCAGTGCTCACGGACGAAGAGCTCATGGTTGCGAAACCAAGGCTGGAGAGCCCTCTGTGGCGGTGCGATCAAGTATTTATAATTTATGACTTTATATTTTATGCGGAGTATCCAAAAGAAAATAGTAACTTTTTTTATAGTGTTGCTGATCCCAACACTGGCACCCGAAGACCGCGGTTTCGTCCTGGTTGGGACTCATCAGTTCGAGATAGCCTGAGTTGGGCTGGAACGCAGAGCCTAGTGGCTCTCCAAGTCCACCTTTGAATTCGTTTCCGCTGGACCAAGCAATGCTCGCGGATCTCAGTGGCATAGTGATCATGGTGTCAACCATGAGCCACTAGGCTCTGAGTTCCAGCCCAACTCAGGCTATCTCGAACTGATGAGTCCCAACCAGGACGAAACCGCGGTCTTCGGGTGCCAGTGTTGGGATGAGCAACACTATAAAAATGTTTTCTTTACTTACGGTCTTTTAGATCGGAATGGCCGAGGTCCACTTCAAGTGAACCGAGGGCTCAATAGAGGTTGCTTGTAGCAACCCAATCACCAGCAGATTCTCCAAGTCCACGTTTAAAATAGTAACTTGTTTCAAAAAATCACCCACTATGACATACTGGCAGACCTTGTGGAAGATGCTAGCTGGGCGTTTCCGGACGACTGTTTCATGGACAGTGCTTGGGTCGAGTTTACTGGCAAGTTCAGTGATCTGCTGAAATCTGCATCGGTCAACATGCCCCTTCGCTCCGCAAGATAACAATCATACATTCAGAGCAGAACCCGAAAACACATGACAGTAAGAGACGCTGCGTGGTATGGGTATAGAGCGAACCCTAGCCCTGACAACTGGAGTAACTATGTTCCGCGTCGTAATCACTATACTACGTTTGTGCCTGAGGATAAATTATTACGGCAGCAGAGTCTAGCTGAAAAGCTTTTGCTAACAAAAAGCTTCTATACAAACGCGTGAACATCCTCCGGAATGTTAAACGGGGTGTTCCTTCACTAATATCAGCAGATGAATGTGCTCAAACTGACGAAGATGCAGCGAACGTTCTTTGTCTACAATATGCCCCAATTTTCCGATGTGCTACCAGCATTTTTATTTTGTCTGTCTTATTCTCCCAGATGCCGGTATTAACACACAAGTTTAATTCAGCGACCATCTTGAGGAAGCTGCTATCGCTGCGCACCCACAGTTCCCCCGGAGTTGACAACATTCCCCCGAAAGTACTGCAGGGGGCAGCCACGAGGATAACTGAACCACTAACAAGATTTTTCCAAAGATGACTGAACAAACAGTAGGTCACTAGCATGTGGAAGCAAGGTATCGTTAGCTGGATTTTCAAAGCTGGTAACTGTTCAGAGTTCACCAACTATCGCTCAGGGATTCTCTTCGCAGTGCTTGCAAAGGTGATGGAATCGACCATAGCTGAGGCTGTAATAGGCTCATTCGAGGCGAATGACAACATAGCACCGGAGCAACACGGATTCCGTCAGCACAGACCATGTATTACCAACCTACTGATTTCCCTTAGCAATTGGACCGAGATAGACGATAGTGGGGATGGCAATGATGTCATGTACCTAGACCTTTCTAAAGCTTTCGACCGCATGGATCACCGCTTCCTTCTCCACAAACTACAAACGTACGGAGTTGGAAACCCTGTGCTTGCAGTGATCGGAAACTACCTCCTTCACTGGCGCCTTCAGGTTCGATTTTGAGGTTTATTTTCTGATTCAATTTGTGTGGACTGCGTATACCAAAAGAGTCAGTGTTGGCGCCGCGGTTATTCTTATTCTTCATTAACGATCTTGCGTGTGCCATCAAGTCAAATCTGCTGCTTTTTGCTACCAACATCAAGATATGGTGGGAAATCGACTCTTTGGTAGATCACCATATGGTGCAACGAGACAAACCGCGTTTTGAATGGTCAGAGGCAAATGCACTTCCGTTTAACACGAACAAGTGAAACACCGTGCATGTCCGCCACAGGCCCACGTTCACGTAGAAGCTCGGAGACGACATGCTGAAAACCGCTTCACCAGAGTGAGACCTTGGGGTAGCGATGCTAGATGAGCTCGGATGTTCGGCGAAGTCCTGGAAGGCTTCCAAAACCCCGAACCAACATGTTGGTCTGGTACGGAGGACGGTCGGGCGGTTCGACCCCTCCATGTTCCCTCAAATGTTCAATGCATATGTAAAACCCCATTTAGAGTACGCGATCCAGGCTTGGCAAACTGGGTTACAACGCGATCTGGCTGCGCTGGAGACCGCCCAGCGAAGGGCAATGAAAAAGGTGAATGGGTTGTCCCGACTGTAATACCATAGGCAACTGAGAGGACTGGGAGCGTGCACCGGCAGATATCGCCGACTACTGGGCAACCTCATTCCGGCCTTCCAGACCTTGGAAAACCCCGGTCACGCCTGCCAACATCTACTGAAGCTTAGCAGCAACACGGAATTGTGAAGGCATAAGTTGAAACTGGCCACCCAATGCAGCCGGTTGGAATGCCGCCGGAATTAATTTTCCAATCGAGTTTGTCAACCGTGCAACGCTCTTTCGACCTTTGTCATTTCCCCGCCCACGTTACCCATTTTAAAAAAGGACTCGACGACGCTGTGCACCACCTACATTACTTGAGCTGATCGCTATGCATCGAGTGAAGACATGGCACAGGTAAACATTGTGCTCCCCAACCCCACGAAATGGGAGTAAACGGTTATACCTTTATGTTAACGTGGATAATATGGTGAGTACGCAGGTGCGTTTTTTTACTTGTGTGCAACTATCTTTTGTACTAACCTTATTTCCACAAACCTCCTTACGGGGCTTGTCAATCCTTGACTTTCTCATCCGCATTACACCATGGTTCCATCGTATCGATTAAACAGTCGCTCGAAAACGCTCCGATGACTTCACCAAGAATTTTTGTTAAGATATCTTATTGTGTGATTATCGGAAACGAGTCACTATATTCTTGTGGGCACTGAATAACACACATAGTCGTAAACTATTGTTGCGTGATCACTCAGCCCCAGAGGACTCTACATATTTGGCTTCTCGCGCATGACTTGTTGGTTCGTGGGCAATAACGCAAGCACAGATAGCTCATTTCCGGCTCTGAATAGGGTGAGCGAACTGACATGGCTGAAGAGCGGATTGCTTGCAATAAGCTCTTGCAGATCAGACTTGGATTACTCGTTGAGGGATGCCGGAATTTCCAAAGCGTAAATGTTGCAGTCGTCAGAGATGAGAACATAGCTATGTTGTTGTTGAGGGTCTCTTACCAAAACTGTTGTCAGACGGGCTTCGACTTATGTGGCGGGCATTGGGGACGATAAACAGTTGCCACAAAGAGATATGGTTGTTTGTTAGTCATAGACGAGGTGAAAGTGTGTCTATGAGCATCATTTTCAGTTCGCACCGCAGGTCTCTGCAGTGTGATCGTTTCGACTAGGGACATGTCATGTTTCGTGACTTCGACGTCGATAATTTCTGAGTGCACCTAGGTTTCAGTAACGAACATGAGGTCCCAGGCATATGATGCATGAAACAGCCGCAGTTCGGCAAGCCCGTTTAAGAGGTCTTATGCATTGAAAAATAGAGGAAAAATTTATAACATCTTAACTGCTAGTCAGAGAAGTGTGTTTTGGATGTGATATTGCGTCGACCGTAAATGGTCTACCACTAGGTTGGGAAACTACTTATCCGTTTTTTGTTCTACTCAAACTGTGATGATAAGTAGTATATCGCCTTACAATTGCTATCGATTATATGTAACCTTCCACCTAAATGTGACCATTTGTGCAGATGATATTATCATTCGAGTTGGCCTACCAGTCACCAGATAGCCGAATAGGTGGATTGGATCAACAAGGACTCATCTTTCCCACAACGCCGATGGATTATGGGCTCGAGGAGATGAGCATCGATCGAGGGAGTTTATCTCAGCTGGAAGCTGGGTAAGTCGATGATTTGTCAAGACAGATTTTCTTTATGCAGAAAGGGGAAACTTAGTTAGTACTTTATCAAAATATTGTGCTATATGTCACAAGTACGCGAGAGTAAGTCTTCATTTGGTTTGTTACAGCATCTTGCTTATGCTTGATGACGCCTTGCACGAACAAGTGCAATTAGCCTAGATGATGGGCCTAGAATGGTGTCCAGGCTTTGCACGAACTCCTAAGGTGCTCATACTTGGTTTTCAACTGATGGTTGTATTATAAATGGAGACTCCAAATATCTGGATTTTCAATGTTCCACCTGGCAGTTGGATAGCCAGGTGCACTTAATCCACTATGAAATCTTATCTTTTTTTTGCCTGCCTCAAGGAATAATTGCATGTCGCCGTTTAAAAGTTCAATATATGCAATTTTGTGAGTCAATTTCGGTGGGCCGACAGTACTCAGAGCATTTAGGATGGGAGCTCATAGTTCCGAGCATAGCATAGTGGTATTGTGTCCGATTGCTAGCTGGAAGACCTGGGTTCGAATCCTGGATACGCTTCTTCTGGTTGTTGATACCCCGACGACGGTGACGTCTTTCAGCAGGATTTTGACCGCCTATCCCAGTGGTAGGCAGAAGTTGACCTACCGGTCAACCCGGACAAATCGCGTAAACAATTACACGATCAAATTCCTTCCGTCGAATAGATCATTTTTTATGGAGACAATGGCCAAGTCCGTGAACGTTTTCCAGTTCATAGGTGACCGAAAGTATTTCTGCACAAGATTCGGTTTGAAGAGGAGCGCTCAACGATGGCTGGGATAATTGATAGTTTCACGCCTGGTGTGTTTTTAAATTTGTGCACGAACATTGTAACAAATAACAAATGCCGAGCGGTAAATCGGTGTCTATTCGCCCACGCCGGTTTTAAGTGCTAGGCATTCGATCAACGACCATAACCTCGACCAATGGCGGTTGATTCTTCTACGTCCTTCTACGTCCTTACCAAACGCTAACATAGATAGGCGACAAATCATAATTGCACGCCATGGATCTGTAGTTAGGTGTGAATCCATTTCTCAAGCTCTCGCGCGGTTGTACTACAACGCGGCAGCGAAACCGGTTATGCGACGCGAGCACACGCACTATTTGCCCTGGTCGTCACAGTGTTCCGCCGAATGCAGAACCGGCCATTTCTAGCATCGTATAAAGTGCACTCTGACCCGACATCACAATAACTTGATCATAACACTCGTCCACTTACCGGTGTCTTACTGACCGCGCAAGGAGTTGCATATCAATCCTTTTGAATTTGTCGATGCCTTTCCATAACTCTCAGGATTTCGGCAATTCACTTTCCAGACATCCTACTTTTCGGAATTCTGAAACCCTATCTGCATTGTCTACGGTTATTCATGAACGAGTAACGCGCGACGCACACCAGTACGAAGTAGACAATACGCTACAAATATCACTCGCACATGTCTCATTGGAAGCCAGTCCCATGTCATTGCCTAATGCTGGACATCAGATATCGCTGTAACACCCACACGAATGTATAACCATACGTACGTGCATACATATTTCGACGAGACTTTGAATTTCCTTGTGTCCCTACCCGCTCCTAGTGGTATACGCTATGCAACCAGATGTCTAAAGTGATGAGCCGGAAATGTAATCAAGCACGTCATTTGTTTCAAACAAGCAGGAAAAGATACACGGATGTGTCGAATCACATTACCACATCCCGCAACACTGCTCTCAGTGGCTGCTGTACTGGCAATGCGTTCCAGAAACTGCATCCTCTATCCCGTTTGCCTCATAAGATTCTGGGGATTCCCGACCAGATGTTCATCTTACTGCATTCGCATTTCATCCTTCACTCGGGTCTTCACTACCTGCCAAACATTTTCGATGGGATTGAGGAACGGGGAATATGGGGTCAATCTCAGAATGGTAACCCCTTCCTATCCTTCGACTGACGCAAGTGCTTCCAAGCGTGTGTAGTACATTGTCACACATTATGACCACCTGCCGGAGCTCTACTTCCCGCTTCAGCTTGTCTTAAATGTCTCGCAGCCAATTCGAAAGATAGGTGGCCAGTGAATGATCTGCTCCGGTTGGTCATCGAAACGTTTCATCCATTGTAAGTGCACCAATGATATGCGCATTCAGGCATCTACTGTTGGCTACTTTGACACACGCCCTCACTCCTCTCGGCGCCCGAGCACGAGTACGTTTGCAGTAAACGTCAAGTTTGTTTCGTCGATCCATTTGAAGAACTTCCGCTCTCTCTCAACTTCGAGAAACTTTTGAACAAGCCCTTTTCCTATCGCTTTGGCTAGATCATTGTCCATTCCTTCTGGTGTCTGACAGGTGTTCTTCATAGTCATCAAACGGTCATCCAGGTGTCGTGCAACTGTAGACTTTGTAATGTTCTTATCCAAACTGGAAAGTACTCGGATTCGTATTTCGTGTAGTGTTACAGTTGCGTCCTTCGCGATCCACTGCAGGATGTCATCAATCTCTTCCTCCGACAGAATGCGCTTACGACCGCGCGCCTGCGTAGTATCCGGCTTCTGATCAAGAGAGTGACGAATCAAAGAGTAGGCAGTTTGATATTTCACATTGTTCACGGTTGCCACGAGCTATCAGTCGTCACCGTTGACGAAGGCATTTAGAACTCAGTCACGAATGTCTGACGAGATACTCTGTGGAACAGTAGAAGGCATGTTGACCACGCTGAAATGAAAGACATCCATTCAGTCGTGCGCTTGTGTTCCGGCCATTCATTGCTCTCAGACCAATTGTGATCCAGCGTTTCGGACGTGAGGGGGGAGGGCGCATAGTAGCTCGTGGTACCGCTCACATCTATGGACTCGAGGTTCATTCACAAGTCCCACCTGGTCAACGAGCAGCGCGTTTACTTCACGACTTACGCACCAACCCTTATGACCCGGGAAATGAGAACACACTTGAGGTCGGAGATTTGGCTCAGAGCGGCTGGCGAATCGCACAGGGTTTTTGCAAAATTTAGCCATTTCTTTTCAATATTTTTCACCTTTTATGCAGCTTTTCGGCTGATGCTTTTGTATTACGGGATTTAAGGCGCATCTTTTTCCCTCTTTTTTGAGCGTCATTTGTTTCGATTTTGGATCTTGTTGCCCGAGGCAGGAGTCAATGCAAATATTCGTCATAATTTATGATAGTCGTGGATGCCCGCGTCGCGAAATTCAGGTATGGGGAGCGCATCGCACCCGGATAAAATCTATTGCTGCTGCAGTATGCTGCCATAGCGCACGATTATGCGACATGATTCCGCAAAGTTGACCGATTCGTCTGCGATGGGGCAACACAAATGTTTTTCTTCTTGATATCTATCCTTAGTATTCAGCAGTACATTTAGTGCGTTGCGTCAACTGTACTTCTTGACCACCACACGCTCTTCCCCATAATGCAAACTCATGGTATTTGCGGTCTTCTCGGAGTACAGATACTACTTTTCACCTCCGACATGCCATTGTGTTGCTGTAGGCCACGACTGTGGAAACAAACATAAAAATGCAAAATGGCGGGCGGCGTGGTTCCTGACAGGGGGTCACCAATTGTTGGGCGGAACCTGGGATACTAGTCGGTAAGCAATGACACGTAAGACGTGTCAAATACGACAGTATAGAAGTCGGAGGCAACTGAACCCAACGTATATTGTAAGGCTACAAAAATAGGAAGCGAATCAGAGAGAGAGAAACGTGTCGCTTGGAACACCAAAACGGTTTGTGACCATGGATATGCAGTCAGTTAAACAAAAGGACGTTTCTAAGGTTAAAACAACCATAAAATCCAATGTTATAAGATAATGAAAGAGCATGTTGTCAGTTGCACTACAGTAGTACAAAACGCTGTTTGTTTGTGATTTCCGTTTGTGCTCCTACTGATTGCACTTCTAATGCTATCAAGGACATATTGTATCGCGAAGTAAACGCCGTACTACGCTGTGCTGCTAGTTCAGATATTGTAGTACTTGCATGGCATATGAACGCACAAATAGGGCTCAACTGGGTGGTAATTATGGGCTTAACTCCGAAAATACTGACAACCGGTGAGTGGCTGCTGCAATTGTGTGCGGAGCACCAGTTGTTTCTTAGTAGCACTGCTTTTAAACACAGCGGGCGCCGAACTGCCACTTGGCGTCCTCCTGTAGCTGGCCAGCGATGGACCCAAATTGACCACATTGCCATAAGTTACAAGTGGCGTGGTTCCATCCTGGATTACCGATCGTACTGGAGTACCTGCGTCGACTCAGATCATGCCTTGGTACGCTGTCGTTTCTCCATGTACTTTATCGGAAGGCGCACCAAGGGTCTCTTCCGCTTGTCAACTGAGAAATTGTCTCAGTCCTCGGTCAGGCAAGCCTATCAAGATGCACTGCGTACCGAGATTTCGCTGTCTTGTCCAAATGACACTGAGCTTCAGTGGAATAGGATCGCGACCGTCATGCACGACGCAGGAGCATCTGCTTGTGGCACTACCATCGTCACCGCACCAGTCACTGGATATCCGAGAGGTAGGTGAACCAGTTGGAATCTAGAAGAAATCTCCCGGCTGACTCTGAACACAATGTGTCGAGACGGGCTATTAGGCGTGAACTAAAACGGAGCCTACGTACTGACAAGGAAGCATGGTGGACCAATCGGGCTCAAGAAATGGTGGAGACAGGAGTAGCAGGAAATTACCGCAAGCTCTTCCACCTAATCCGCTCCACTGGTTCCAGAAAACCAGGCGTCAGTGAGACAATCAGAGACAGTGCGGGTGTGCTGATACACAATAAGGAGCGCCATTTGGCTCGTTGGGCGGAACATTTTCAAGAACAGTTCAGCTGGTCCCCTGCTCCCGGACCTCTTCGTACTCAGGTGATGCAGGACGAGCTATGGACGGTTAGTTTAGAGCCTCCGTCGGAGGCCGAGGTCCGAAACGCGATCAAAGCGCTCAATCGTTTTCGTGCTGCTGGTCCGGATTCCCTC